GGCCTCTTTCACAATAATTCGCCGCAATGTCCAGGATGTGGGCATGAGAGATGCGACAAGTGTACAAGATCACCGTGAGTATACATCTTGCAGGATTTCAGAAATATTCATCGCTAACATATCACAGTGTCAGGAAACCTGAGAAAGGGGAGCATTTCGATTCCCAGGTCGTGGCGGCCGTGGAGGCTAAGCTGCGAGCGATGGATGTTGATGACAATTCGGCTCCATCTGCAGCGGAGGCTACCTGAGAGGCCAACGCTCGAACAGGATAATATACGCCGGTTCCCGATTCTTTCGAGATCTTCTTACCATGTCTTCGCACCAGTGTTATGCTCTACTTGACAGTGATACCAGTGCCGCCTGCACTCGCACGCGTGGACTCACGGCCATATCCCATCCACTGCCGCGCTCGCTATCATCACTGTGCGGCTGGGGGTCTTGTTTCACAATAAGTCAGCATTAACACGTCGTACAGCCCCCACCTTCATGCTTCGCCCCTCTACTGCCCACTGGTTTGGTATGGATTCCACCACAATACCGGCCTCAGAAAGCCACACGTGCTCTAAATTCTCTCGAGACTTCTTCCATCTCTCAGCGTGTACGAATATGATGTGTAAGCCAAACGACGTAGTGTCGTAACTGCACCTCCGTTCATAGCTTGTACAGGTACGTTCCCGAGTAAACTTCTGCAATGCAGTGTAACCTCTGCATGTATATCTGTACCAGCCAACTGACTATCTGCTGGGGTTGGCATGAAGTGGCGTTTCCCAGCGCGTAATTTCGGGCTCTTGTTCTACAGTTGTCCACCACGCTAGGTGGATGTTGTGTCTGTACAACGGGTACAGCGGGTGTCAGACACATTGTCCGGGACATCTGAGGCTGGTATTCCGGCTGGAAAGGTTTGTTGGCACGTCAGGCACGAGTTACGTCTAGACAAGAGGTTAAGGCTTAACCAGCCATAGCTCTTAGTAAGTACCTAGGTAGTGACCGGTGTGATACGAGTAATCGTATAGTCCTAGCGCTCTTGTGCCACTTCAGAACTTCACTCTAGAGGTCCTCATTCTCATCTCAGCGCTTACCCATCACTTTGAACATTTCGACTCCGCCCAACGAAGCCTGCTTACTTGATGTCGCACAACGAGCACTCAAGCGGGGAAGTGGCACAGACGTCCTAGTCCGCGTGCTGGAACAGCACGACCCTTCGAATCGTCCTCCAGGTCCTTCACACAATGCTAGTCTCGAAACAGCAAATGGTAGTCACTGGATAGTTTACGGCTCATATAGCCTGTGAATACATCTGCTAGTCATGTTGATGGCTTCACAAGGAACGACATCAAGGGAGGTATTCTCGGTCGCTATTGTCGTTTCCGCGGCATAGTTCCGCACACCACAAACTTGGTATGTAGCAATCTAGTCCTCATCAAGCAATCCCATGGTGACGAGTGCGCCAATAACCATGATTTGTCCCCTGCCTGCATCAGTTGGACCCCATTTCCAACAGGCAGTTTTCTTGCCCGGTTCGAATCATCTTGATAAGGAGCGAAAAGCAGAGTTTATAGATTAATGTGGCGTTCTGAGACCCTAATCCAGGTGATCGGTTATCTGAATCCTTGAAAACGGATTGCCAATTGCGGAGATCGCTTAGGTGGACTGGGTGAACGATTACTATTCAGGCAGGAAGTTATGGGGTCTATATTAGGAGACGCATGGTATACTATGCACACAGGTGCGAAGTTTTTATACTCCCATCCCATCCAGGCATCAGCTGCAGCACATGACTGTGGTGTACTTTGGTTGTTGAGTTGAGATTTTTCTGAATTCCCATGGTTGAGAAACACTGAAGCCAAGGCTTACTCGGACACGTGATATACTATGCAGTGATATTTGGGCAATGTAAGCTGGTGTTATATCCTAGCGGAACGCACGGCTGCTGGAACAGCGCATCTTAGATGATTCTGGCATAAGCTATACCGAGTGTTACCATATAAGCAGCTGTTTCGCTACATCGAGGAGCGAGGTTGTGTGACGTAGAAGAGGGGGCCTGTTCCAACATGTTCGACGTACAGCTCAGCACAAGACTTCAGGTATTCCGGGATTGTTCCGGTGGCATGGCGTTTGCTTGACGTGCTCCATGTTTACTGAACTCTCTCTCTGTCGATTACTCACCATCCTCACCTGAGCAGTCTCTGGATGAACACGCTCGTAGGTAGGTATGGGTATCCTAACTGCATCGTAACACATGTCAGCTGCGATGAGGGTCGTACAACGGCTGAGTCGTAGCAGTACGCGATAGGTGTTGGCATAGCCTGCAGGACTGATGCTGATGTCTGGTGCGTCCTTGGAGCGAATGTCTTCGTTCAAAGATGTATTGGCTTTGTAGACATGATGTCGGGTTAGTACGTGCTGCGGGAATAAGAAGCGCCAGAGCCTGAAGACGATAGGAGGATGGCCTATTATGACGTAACGTCCAAAAGCTTCCGAAACGCGTTCATTCTACGCGCCGTTTCAGGCGCGTGGCTGTGCACCAAAGACTCACCAAACGAAGACCGACGGCTCACTTGTCATTCTTGGCGCCAAGGCCTCGCTGAGGCTGATACCAGCGCGGTGCGACCGCTGCCCAATCACACGGTTCCGGACGCCGAGAGCGCAATTACGGGGTAAGCCGCTCGTGAATGATCGCCAGCGCGTGTTTGCACGAACCTACACGGGGGTTTGCCCTGCTCTCTCTTGAACAATCTCACTCTCCACACTCTCTCCACACTCTCTGACACCTTTCTTCCTGCAATCTTTTTCAACTTTTCAACTACAGTCGCTCCCTTATTCTACTTTACCAACCATGCGTTTCGTATCAGCGCTTGCCGTCGCGGCGGCCACCGTCAGCGGCGCCCTCGCGCAAGACTTCGTCCTGGGCTTCAACTCGGGAGCCTCGGACGACACTGGCAAGGCCAAGACACAGGCGGACTTTGAGAAGGAGTTCACCACAGCGCAGAACCTCGAGGGCGCGCCGGGCGACTTCACCGCCATCCGCCTGTACTCCAACATCCAGTGGCAGACGACCGACACTCCCATCGCCGCCTTCCCTGCTGCCATTAAGACAAACTCCAAGCTCCTTCTCGGTATCTGGGCCTCGGGAACCGACGACATCGACAACGAGCTGAAGGCGTTGAACTCTGCCGTCGAAGAGTACGGCACCAAGCTGACGGATCTCGTAATTGGACTGTCGGTCGGTTCCGAGGATCTCTACCGCGTGTCTGAGCCCGGCATCCGGAACAAGGCCGGTGTCGGTAACAGCGCCGAGAAGATTGTCGAGTTCATCAAGGCCGCGCGCGAGCGTCTCGCCGACACTCCTCTCAAGGGTGTCAAGATCACCCACGTCGACACCTGGACTGCTTGGGTCAACGAGTCCAACGCCGCTGTCATCGACGAGATCGACTTCTTGGCCGTCAACGCTTTCCCCTTCTACGAGTCCGAGCTGGACAACAAGATTGACAACGCTGGCAAGCTCTTGAGCAGCGCCATCAGCGCAACCGAGGGTGTTGCTGGAGGCAAGGACGTGTGGGTTACCGAGACCGGTTGGGCATACAGCGGTCCAGACTTTGGTGCTGCCAAGTCGACTGTGGACAACGCCGAGACATACTGGAAGGATGTCGGCTGCGCGCTCTTCGGCAAGAAGAACGTCTTCTGGTACACACTCCGCGACGCCAACCCCGCGAACAAGGTCAAGTTCGCCGTCTCTGACAACCTCTCCACCACCCCGCGCTTCGACATCAGCTGCCCTAAGGAGCAGAAGGAGTTGCCATCGGCGGAGCCCGTTAACAACGGTACTTCATCTGGTGGCTCTTCAAGCGGCAACACCACCACTGGCGGTAACAACAACGACGGCGGTAACAACAGCGACAACGGTAACAATGGCGGAAGTGACGGTGGAAGCGAGAGTGCTCAGCAATCTGGCACCGCCGCCCCTAGCGGTACTGGAGCTGGAGCTGCTACTTCCGTCTCGGTTGTGAACTCGATGGCCATGGGCTTGTCGGTCGTCTTCGCTATTGCTGCCTGGGCCTTGTAAGCGTAGATCAAGCTTCTACACCTAGCTCCCATGCTATATTTCTTTGCGTCAGTGTAAGATAGATGAATGCGTTCACATGGAGTGTCGAGTGGATCACACTCGTACCTAGTTCGAGCGACCGGTTTCGCAACACTAAGGTCTTGTAATATGCCTAGAGAATGAGATGGCTTTGTGTTGATAGTATTTCGAGTGCCATCTAGGCGAATCATGAAGGTGAAGTGTACATTGATCGAGGAGAGAAAAGAAAGGTGCCACCCACGCACTAGCTCATCGAGACGCGTCATGCCCCACACTCAGCCGTAGCATCGCTCCTGACTCCGCATCCTCCACCAGCTTCTTATTTTGTTGAAATTCACAAACTAATACCAATCAATGATTGTTCAAACAGCCAAGAGGAGCATGTCACCAAGATGGCTCGCAATCTAATCAACCCCAGCAATGATTCATCCCCTCATACCCTGCGTCCGATCCAACGTCTTCGCACTATTATTCAGAGAACGCTGGCCAAAAACATTCGACCTACTGCACCCATCAGACTCATCGGAATAGAAAAGCTGAGGGCTGCGGGTCTCGTACTGTTGCATTGAGCCCACGGTCGGGGCCATGTAGTGTGGAAGGCTCGGCTGCAATTGAGCGGGTGGTGGAGTTGTGGGTGGTGTCGTCACGGCATGTATCTCACCTTGTCTTCCAGGAACAAAAGCTGTAGAGATGGGTGTTTTGGGAGCCACAGAAGCCGGTGTCGAGATGGTGGATTGGGCGATTGGACTGGAGTTGTGTTTAGGTGCCGTCTCGGGTGTGGCTGGCGTAGGGCTCTGTGCCTGCATCGCCATGCTAGAGTGCCGAGACTGTGACTTTGGCTCTTTAGATTTCCGGAAGGGACTCATGGAAGAGAATATTGATGCTGCCCGATGTCTAGGAGTAGATGTTGGTGTATTTATTATCGCCTTGGCTGCTCCAAATAGCCCTTGAGACTTCGGAGCCAGAGGCTTTCTAGTAGGCGTTGTCGGCGTGAGCTTACGCTTTGTTCGTGGTTTTGCGGATAGTTCCTCGTTTTTGTCTTTGAGGGAGTATGCGGCGTATGCTAACGGTTCAGTCCCAGGCTTCTCCTTCGTGTCCATCAACGACCGTTTTTTCTCTTTCGACCTGGTCGTTCTGGCTAATGCTGAGGCATGCTTCGCCCTCTCTTTTTGTTCCCTCTCATCGAGCTCACGGAGCTCCTGGAAATGAATCGCCTGCAGGATCAACATGCGAGCTTCAGTGTTGATGCCGTGTTCGAAGACCTCTTGTACGTACGGCACAAAATCTCCCCACGTCTGTATCTGTCCTGGTAACGGGAAGATCATATTCGCCGTCTGATAGACTCTTCGAAGGTCTCTTGGTATTTGTTTTGCGCCCATGATGGTGGGCAACACACGCAAATGCTTTGCAATCAGCTCTTTGGCTTCGTAGATGAGCTTGCGCATACTGCCATGCAAGGATGCATGGGCACGATTGCTGAGGTTCAGATCGAGAACGCAACTCTCAGGCACTTCGAGCAAGTATCGATCGATGTCAGCATATCGAACCGGAGTTGGGCTCTGCTCAGGCGGCCTGGAGCTGCCAAAAGCTGCTCTAAACAGCGCCTTCGACGGGCTTGCAGAGTGCTTGCCCAAACAAGGCTCATTAGGAACCGATGGCGTGTCGAAGATTGCTAGATCCATCTTGTATTCCTGATCGTAGGAATAGTCAAGGATACACACATATTCGTACCCAGGTTCCAGGCAGCCGAATAACCACTCCCACGGCCCGGACACCTGCTGGTTCATACTGTGTATGATTCTCTTCATCGCTTCTTCAGATGTGGCGTGATCTACAAAGAACCTTGTATTCGCAATTAACTTCCCCTGCGATAGTCTGGCATTACGGATGTAGCTGAGTGGTGCGGCGCCGACTATGGGCTCACATGCGGCACTGAGTAGCGGCGTGTGTCGAATGCGACACTTCTCCCAATCCGGCTTCGAAGGCAGTACTTCGATACCACGACCGAAAACGCGAAGAACAGCGCAAAGACTATACGGGTTCACGTTTGCTATTCCGACAAGATCTCTTTGGGTGGATCTACCGATATCGTAGTGCATGGCCAGGGCTTGTAGCATCTGTTGTATGTTAGCTGCAAATTCTTGACCAAAATAAGTGATAAATGCTCACTCGTGTAGCTCGTCTCTGGTTGCGATAGCGCTTCACCACGAGCAGTTGCGTTATCCACCAAACTCGATCGTCCCCATGCATCCACTGGCTGACGAAGCAGTGCCCAACGTGCCGATCGTCTTTAGTAACAACCGTAACTAGCATATTGTTCGCGCCCTCGGGTAAACATTGAGCTCTTAGTCTCACGCGACTCATGTGTATTGGTTTGCCTGTATCAGAGTCAGCGATACGTCCTTGGCTGCCGTCCCACACACTCCAACAACGTAGGAGGACTTACCGTACTCGGCCATCATCCCCATTTCAAGATGCGCTCTCCAACTCCACACGCCGTAATCAGAAGAGAAGTTACCAGCGCATATGTCCAGTTCTTCGTCCGTCACTGCATCTCCGGGAATAATGCGATATACGATGTCTTCGTCGACATCTGGTTCTTCATAGAGGTGGTTAGACTCGCCACGTATACAATAGTCAACGATATCAGTGCTCGCAGGGTCGCGGAGCGCCATCTTCCAGGTGAACGGTCTCTTCGCGCGGTTGGTGGTAGCTGATCGTGCTTCGCCGCGGAAGTCACGCTATGCCGTCCTTGGAAATTGTTTCGGTTCTGATTTGATGTTCTGGCAAAAGAAGTTGTTCTGGAACGTTGAAATAAGCTCAAAATCTATCGTAGACGACTTTTCGACTGTCAGGTTCGTTCAAGCGAGTGGTGCAAACCATGGTAGAGACCGGACTGCGCCCTATCATGCAAAAGGCCGCGCCTGCCGCTTCCTCTGAACCCCTTCCGAGTCCAACGCCAAAGTGAACGATCAGTCCCGAAAGAGCTGTAGATGGAAGGAGCGAAGCGTCCTCGCCTAGACCTCTGACCTGTTGAGCGGGTTGCCAGGTTCGCGATAAAATTTGGATCTCAAGGCGCGCAATAACGTCACGAACTGTTTCCAGACAAAGTACGAGTTGCGCAATCGGTAGTATCCAATGAATTGATTCAACACATCACTGCTAATACTGCATAAGTCTAATTAAGGTAGACAAGATGTGCAGGACTCAGAACAAGCGGATTAGATACCCTCGCCACGGTCTTCCCATCACGATCGTGTCTTCGTCTTGGGAAACCAACATTCCAGCGCACACCCGATTACTCAAGTCTTAACGCTCGCGTCATCTCACATCTTCTTAACGGCGTTCATCCTAATCAAGTCAGTGCGTGCAGAAATCCCATGCGAACGCAAAACTCTTACCTCGTAGTACTGCCTATCATCCGCGAAAGATACCCGACGTCTCCTTCTCGTATCCACTGGCTGCTGCCTTTCGTCAGGTGGAAGGTATTCGTCGCCACGCCACACCCCAGTATTATGTAGTCGATATCTGTCGTCGCGGTCCGGCTGCCTGACCTCTTGCAGTGGTCGCCTTGTATCGTGAGGCAAAGACTGTGGCTCGAGTCGGGATGGCCTCCGATCTAGCAACTCTTCTCTGTCTTCAGATCGCGACTGCCTGTGATCTCGTAACTCATCTCTTTCCTCATAGCGCGGCCTCTGCCTATGAGATTCATCGAGATCCGCGATCTTCCTTCGGTCAGCCAGTTCGACCATTCTCTCTGCTTCACGCGCTGGTATCGGGAGGATAGAACCCCACTCTCCTGCTGCGTCACAGAAGTTTATGATCTCCAGTCTCTCCGCTGGGTTATGTTAGCCTAGCAAGTTTGTTACACGTACCGATCTACTCACCATCGGTCATGTCCCTCGATCGCTCCATCTCGCTTCCTCGCCTTGTTGGCTGCGCCGATTGATCCGGATTCATCTGCATGAACCGCATAGGGTACTTTGGCTGCTTCTTCATCCGTGAGACGATGCTCTGATACGTCGCGAGGTAGTCATCTCTTCGTGCACCTGAGATCTTCGCTAGTTCGTAGTCGTTGTGGAAGGGCGAGAGGAAGTTAACGAGCCAGATGATGTCGGCATCACGACCGGGATAGTACTCGAGGCTTTCAATCAACCGCTTGGTGAGTCGCAGGGCGAACAAGCCGATGACGAGGAAGTCTGGAGCAGGCGGTGGTGGAGAAGGGCGAGGTGGTAGTCGCGGCGGTGCGGATGGGCCGCGCACGATATCGGGAAGGGGCGAGAGGGCGGATCTGTGTTGCTGCATGTTGATGGTGTGTCGATGGAGGACGATAGTCTGGCAGTGAAGGTAGCAGTCTAGACTAAGCACATTTGGTCGCGTGCTTGGCGGTAAACGGAAGTCGCGACTCGATGGCGCAGTGAAGACTGTAGAAACAAGCGAATCCAATTTCTCGCCAAAATGACCAAGTTACCGTATCTGCACCTGTTGTGCGTTCTTTGGAGTCTTGCGTGTTATTCGTTGCTCTAATGAGCTTACCCAACACATGTGATCAATTCCCCTACAGACTGGCGTAGAGAAGGCAGCAACCGAAGATTTGAGAACCAAGCCTGTCCCCAGCCAGTTTATTAATCGTCAGCGCATGATATCCGATTATCTTGCACCATACACGAGTTGGCTCTTGGGCTCGATCGTCGATTCGGTACACATTGTCGTGTGCTGTTGGTAGTCATGTTCCTGGGCAGATCAGAGTGCAGAGAATGACCACTCTTACTCAGACGTGTCTGCCCAAGCAAATAACATGTGATAATGTCGCGACACCACGTTGTGATGCTTCGCAATACGCTGGTGAGGAATACATGCACGATGACGTCACGCGTAGATTAGCGTGTATGAGTCGAAATGACCATTGGACGGCGAACGGTGACACCTGCGTACCTTTCCCGATAAATATCACTAAAGTTGTACTGGCATTCACGATGCAGTTCCCTATCAACAAAGAGAATAATTCAAAGATCAAGACCGACCGTCTACGATTAAGCCGAATCATGGATTACCCGTTTATTCCGGGAACTTCAACAATTCCGTCCAAGATTCTGGAGCCTATTTCAACAGAAGGGCCTCTACCCGAAGAGCTCTTGTCGCCGAAGCCACCTCTTGTAGACTCAAAGTCTATATTCGCGTTCTGGCATTCTGGCATCCGAACAATCCCACCCGTCCTACTACGCAACGTCCTTGCTTGGTACCGCCGCTTCTCACCACTGGGATGGACTATCTATGTCCTTGACAACGTGCCAAATTCTGCACTAAATGTGGGCAACTACATCGACACCAAGTCCTCCTCGATTGTACCGGCGGCATTCACAAACGGTACCCTGGACGGACAGTATGCTGCACAACACAGTTCAGATCTCATCCGCTATCCGCTCCTGTTGAAGTACGGTGGTGTATATCTTGATGTTGGCATCCTTCAATTCGGCGACCTAAATCGTCTCTGGACCGAACACATCACCAACCCAGATTCGCCTTACGACTTCGCCGGCTTCACGCTGGGAGCAGATGAGCCGCAGATTGTAAATTTCACGCTCACGTGTCGAGCGGACAACCCGCTCGTGCAACGCGCACATCACATCTTGCTCCAGGTCTGGGAAGGCAAGACCAACACGATCGGCACACATGCGCATCCAATGGTGTCCCACGTCCCGCTTATGCGTGTGCCACAAGAGGTTGTTGTAGAAGAAGAAGGACAGGAGAAGATGGTGATTAACGACGAAGCCATGACCGACTACGCGGTTCAGATCCAATGTATGGGATCGGCGCAAGGCTGGGTGGACGAAGAAGATGGATGGGACGGGCCGAAGTATGTCAGAGAGAAGTGCTGGCTGCTCAGCATGATGGACGGTGCGTTCGCACACGAGCAGATGACTGGATGGAGTGGTCAGAAGCAATTTGATCTTTTGAGCCTTCGATTACCCAAGGAGAGCGAGATTGAGACAGACGATCAAGCACTTGCGAGGCGTATTGTAGAGAAAGTAGTGGCAGACAGCTGGTGTTTGAAGCTTGGGCACGGATTTTCGGCGAAGCTGTTCGGAGGCGACACTCTCGGTATGCTGTGGAGAAAACATCGTGGCAGCGACTGTGCCAATAGGACGTATGCGGGCTGGCTGAGATGGGCAGAAGTGGGCTATTGTCGCGACAGCGATGTGGTACCTATGAAGGTTCCCGTGTATGAGCCGACTAGGAAAGCGAAACTTTTGCCATGAAAGGACGAAAGGCATGATGGAAAGAAAAGGGCGACTTGGGCGAACAATGGACTGCTCGAGGTAGCGCCCAGAAATTTAGTACAGAACTATGTATGTCATTACACAGCCGAAGCGGATCTGTCCGCCTCCCCTCCCCTTTTCTCACGCCCACGCGCACGCTTAATGCCATCCCCTCCCCTCAGGCTTTCGGAAACTTGCGTATCGACTTGCAGACATCTCATGCACGGGTGTAACTTCATGCGCCATCATCTCTGACGGCTGCCGCGATACTGGTTCAATTGTTTGCCCATCGATCTCGCTGACAGCAGGGTTCTTGGCTCGGCGGTTCCGCCTAAACAGCAGGAAGCCCACGGCTCCGAGCAGGGCTAGTCCAGCAACACCTCCCACAACACCACCTGCGATCGCACCTTTATTGGTCGATTTAATTTTCGCTGTCGGAGTCGGGCTCACGGGCGTGATGTTGGTAGGTGTGCAGATTGTGGTAGGGTTTGGCGACACGTTTTCCGCATTGGCTGCGACAGCTGGCGCAAGTTGGAACTCGCTTTTCGCGTAATCTACTAAAAGATAGTTGAAGGTCAAGAAGAGCCCTCCCAGGATACTGTCAACATCGCCTGGATCATCTTGTCGCGTATCCGACACGAAGGCTTCGAGTGTGCTGTCGTTGGTGATGGCATACCGGCCGTACTCGTCAGATCCGCGTAGTGGCGCGAACAATTCCTTGTTAGGTATCCTGGACTGATAACCGCCTGCCAGCGTCACAACGAGATCGCCACTGGGGCGGTTCGAGATGTTGTACTGCATCTTCCCCGGATATGCGGTCTCATTCTGGTCAGTAGAGTTTCCGAAGGCTTGCGCAATTGCTGGCGGAAAGACGAAGCGCTGCGTCGATGGCTCAATGCAAGCTCTCAGCCCATTGGTCCCGTCTGGTATGAGCGGTTTATCCTGATACGTCAGGTTTGTGACCGTTACCTGTAGAGGGCAGGCCCGCTCGAGGTTCCATTCGCCGATTGGGAAAGTGGTGAAGCTGGATGCTGGGTCAACCCGCGCGCGATCATACCCTCCCACAACGAGCAGACCGTCATGTGGATCGATGCCCCTGCTACCACTCCAAAGACCGAACACCTGAGATGGCGCAACACCACCAGCGACTGCAGCGCGGAGGAAGGAGGAGTTGGTTCCGAGAGGTAGACCAGATTGCACACCTGCTATCAGTCAGCTTCATTCATAGCTCGACAGCCCGCATTGAACGAGACGTATTGTGGGATTCTCACCTCCCCAGACTTCACTATCCATGACCAATGGAAAGCCGTCGACATCGCCATTCTCCTGAAACGCGACATCGTCGTTGAAGTAGACGTATGCACCGGTACTGTCTTCAGCGTCGACTTGGCTGCCATTCCATTGGCTCTTAATCGAAACCGCATACGATGTCGACTTTGGCGCATCGAAAGCACCACCTAGACCACCAATGCAGCTGTCGTTGGTCGCAGATCCACAGTTGATCACATTGTTGATCCGCGTGTTGTTGAGCGTAGTCGACGGTCGGAAAGCAAAGATCTGGTGCGGAGTCCCAATACCAAGTTCAATTCCACGCGCGACACCGAGGCCGTCCTGTGTGACGGTGATGTTGGACCAGGTGAGTGTCAGAGGCGGGATGTCGCATTGCGCTGCTATCAGGCGAGGCTGGAAGAAGACGAGGGCAGCAAGGCCGAAGATGAAGCTACTTTTTATGCGCCATGATGGAGCCATGGCATTGAAGCGGGCTGAAGCATGTGCAGGAGAATTGGCTCGTCTCACAGGAGCATCAAGGTCAAGTCGGTGAGCAGAGAAGAGGAGGTAAGCAGACAAAGGAACCAGCGTGCGCAACGTAAGCCGGGCGCAGGTTGTGCTCCTCGAAACCGACGCCCAAAGAGATTTCTCGTACTATCATGCATCGTGATAGCAGCAGTTTTTCTGATTGGAGTTACATTCTAGTGGCGCAACCTATTGGGCGTGCGTAGCTGCATTGTCAGCTTGAAACGTCGGTTAATGTGCCTGCGTACATGCCGATCACTTCTATCATGCCTGAGATCTGGAGGGCCAGTCCATATGCGTCGAGTCGACTTTCCCACCCCGCTTTGTGCTTCGATGTGGTGTGGAAGCCACGGACATTTCCTACAAAGGAGGGACGCCTCCAACCTGCATAGCGAACTTCTCGCCGTAAATGGTCACCTAGCTCCGGACACAGACGCAAGTGTTGGCACGTCACACAAGAAGATCATTTCAAGTTAATTAGACTAGATGACGTAAGGCCAGCAGCTTTGTCGAACTACAACTTGTGAGAGTTTTTGTTCCAGCTCTATCCAAGCAAGCAATGACTATCAACAGCTCTCGATAAACGGTTCCATTGAACTTACCATGTGAGCTTTCCAAATTTACGGCTTTAGTTAATATCAAAGGAATATAAAACGGTCGAGATTGGGTTCACGTCCTTTGGACTGGGTCCATTCGAGCTGTAGACCCTTTTGACGATGGCTTTGCAAAGCCAAGACTTCAGGCTTGTACGCGACGGGCATACGTGCGAAAAGTGTGGAGAGCCGTTCCAATCGATTCACGACCTGCGAGCAAATGCTGTGGGTCAATGTCCACTATCTCGTGTGCGATTGGCTTGCGTAAAGTGGGCTATAGCCCGACTATCTCTGGATGGCGATTGGTTTGGCAATAACCACTACGGTTTATTTCATTTCCAAGCAGTCCGAGTGCAAGGATCGTTTGGCGTAGAAACGTTTGATCTTGATGGTATGTGAGATGATAGTAGTCAAAGGGTGCTCACTAACTACTCCAGCGGACTCTCCGGCATCAGGCAGATTACTGCCAAATTCGACAGGCTCAGATGGCACTTTCTTCGCCATTCAAAACTGGCTAGGTGAATGTGTGGCGAACCACAATCATTGCGCGAAATCCATGATTAGTACACCCGACAGCTGTCGTCTAGGCACCAGATTCCTGAAAATCGAAGAAAACCGACTGCTGCTTCTGGAGGGCATAGGCCCTACGCATTATATTTGTCTGAGTCACTGCTGGGGAGACGGAGAGGGCATTCTTCGGACAACAGTTGCCAACTTCCATGACCACTCGGACGCAGGCATCCCTGTGAGCAGACTTCCAGCGACCTTCAGAGACACTGTGAAGATTTGCCAAGTCATGAATATCTCATACTTGTGGATCGATAGTTTGTGTATAGTTCAAGATAGTGAAGAAGACTGGCGTAATCAATCCGCAAAGATGGCTGAGATCTATGCGAACGCCTTTCTCACAGTGGCTGCATCGGCCTCTGAAAATGCGACAAAGGGGTTGTTTCGGACACCGGACCCAAGTTTTGTGGGAGATCCGCTTCCAGGCCACCAAGGAGTATATGTACGGTTTACAACGGATGCGGACGACGATACATGGCCACTGTTAAGGCGGGCATGGGTCTTCCAGGAGCTTGTACTATCTCCCCGCGTGGTACATTTTGGCCCTAACGAAATGATATGGCAATGTCGTAATGCAGTCAGGTCCCAAAGTCGAAAATTAAGTCGGGTCCCGTCAAGATCAATTGGAATTCTGAGGACAACAGTTCGTACAACGGGAAAACTTCAGTCTGAGGATCCGGATCTTACATACGTGTGGCATGTGATGGTGGAGTTGTACACTAGGCGAAGCCTCACATACGGCAAGGACCGTTTGCCAGCAATCGCCGCGATTGCAAAGATAATGCAAACACTTCGACCGGACGATGAATATATGGCTGGACTATGGCGATCGAGTCTTTGTGTTGACATGCTATGGCACCTTGCTCGCGCGCCAGTTCGATACACTGGAAACCAACTTGCTGCAGTCAAACGGCGCATGGCTGGAAGCATCCCTACTTGGTCGTGGGCATCCACGAGTAGACATGTCACATGGACGGGGGCCCAAAAAGTCCTTTCCAATGTTGAAGTCCTTGCGGTCCGGTACGCAGTGGATGGACCCCTCGTGTCTGGTAGAGTCATTGAAGCCGCCATCACTATACACTGCCCATGGTTAAGGTTCTGCGACATTCGGCACCAAGAGGACGGGCAAATCTCGCTCGAGGACGCAATGTATGAAAGCTTGTTGGCGGAATCAAGCGAAATGATGCATGACAACCCAAGATGGGATGATGTAGGCTGGGGTCGCGGCCATGACATTCCAACGCAGCTACATGTCCTGTTTCTCACTCGAAATGACCGGCCATATAAGGGATATGGTGGTCAGTATGCGCTGATTGTTATGGAGACAGATCATTCAGATTGCTACGTTCGCCTTGGCATCGTTGAACTGCATTACGCTGGGTGGTGGGCTATCTGGCATCGGCAAGGAGACATTGAGCATGTGACAGAACACGACGTCGACGGACTTATGGACAAGTACAACACTCGTTTCATCGAGATGCTTGAAGAGATGGACACGCAAACTGTAACGTTGGTCTGATCCTACGATGAGCGCCAGGGTGTAGGTAATATGAACAACGCTGCTTTTTGAGACAGCAGGGCCCGGTGTGTATGGTGAAGATACACAGAGGCATCTGAGTGACAATTAGTGCCTTGAGTAAAACCACCTCTTTTTGAGCGAGACGTCATCAGCCCAGTGCACCGCCACAATCCAAGCCGCTGAACCCCACCAAGACATGCCTACGCGTGTCCCGCCTCCACGTCCCAGCCCAACCACTAGCCCCAGCCAACACCAGACGCCTGCACGACAATCAACAACGCCTTAGACGCAATTCCCACACGTATTCAGAGATTATCGCCGACCATACAAGATGGCGCCTTCAGTCTCGTTAGTCGTACGTTCTATGGCGACACTGGACACGGCTGTCGCGACTGCCAGCTAACGCGGGGCAGAACAAGCTCAAGGTACAGCTCAAGCTGTCAATATCGCGACTGCGCATGGTCCAGCAGAAAGATAGCGCCAAGGTCAAACAGCAGAGGAGAGAGATGGCGCAACTGATCGAGGTACGTCGCCGACCCATTACAAGCAATTGTCGCATCGCCTCGCCCGGGCGCAAGGCAGCCGCGCGTATCCAGACAAACCCGCGTTACCCTCTACATACCCAGAATTGACTCCTACACAGGTCGGCAAAGTGCAATCAGCGCGCATACGCGTCGAAAACATAATCCGCACCGATATCACCACGGAACTGCACGAGATCCTCGAACTCTACTGCGAACTACTACTCGCGCGCTCCCAACTCCTCGAATCGCAAGTATCCTCTTCAAACACCACCTCCGCATCCACCTCGACCCTCCTCGACCCCGCGCTAGAAGAAGCCGTCCGCAGCATAATATACGCCGCGCCGCGAACCGAGATCAAGGAACTGCATACCGTGAGGGCGCTGTTGGTGGACAAGTTCGGGAAGGATGTCGCAGTCGCTAGTATGGAAGGGGAGGGTGTTGCGGAACGGGTCATGAAGAAGCTGAAGGTTGAGACACCGAAGGAGGAGCTGGTTGAGGCATACATGACGGAGATTGCGAGGTTCTACGGCGTACCATACGGCACAGCCAAGAGTGAAGACGAAGACGACGACGACGACGAGCCATCGGGTGGCGTAGCGGAGAAAGCCGACGCCGATCTTGAAGACCCCATATCCACCGACGACAGCACGAGCAAAAAGGCAGAAGAGAGGGAAGCGTTAGCGAAAGCCTCGACACCCAAAAAGCTGGGTCCGCAAAGTCCGCTGAGAGTTGTTCCGCCCAGCCCTAGTACGGATAACGTAGCGCCGAGGTTAAAGTTACCGGGCAGTGCGGCGGCGAAAGTAGCGAAGAGCGAGGCGAATACGAAGAAGCCGGCGAAGAAGGAGGATGGGCTGGGCAAGATTCCTGATGTGGATGAGCTTTCGAGAAGGTTTGCCGAGTTGAAGAGGTGATGCGATGACAATGAGGAGCTGATTGTTTGGCCTGGAATTCAGTGGACTTCCTATCTAAGGTTTCCACATCGAGGACGAGTCTGGTAGGAGTGCCCCAGACTGCGCACGAATCATGTAAAGAATAAGACTTTTGGCACAGTGCCAAGGGGGTAAGCCCGAAAGTGAGGGACTGCGCACGATAGTAATGGCCGTGATTTAAGTCTCCTACTCTTCAAGATAGCCAGGTGCTGAGCTGCGCGCAATGATATCGATGCAAACTGCTCCTGTTCTCTGCAAACCTCCCACATGGTATCACATTGTACGGCTTCCCATGTTGAACTTTCTGACATCTTCGATGCCTGATCTGAGGACTAGGGAATAGGTGGTACATGTAAATTACTGGTATGATGCTAATACGCTCACGAATCTGACTAAAGCTACGACGGATCTCTTGCCCGAGTACAGAGCTTTGCTACATCCCGAAACGCCATTGCCTTGCATACTCAAAATCACAAGGCCTGAATGCCCTTGAAGAACCCATTAGCCATAAGCTCCGGGTTCCCCTTGACCAGTTCCCTCATCCTCTCCACTTGTTGTTTCTTCGTCAGCCCCTTGCTCTCTACCTCTTCCTTCCACTTCACCAACACCTCTTTGAGCATCCGGCTTCCATCCTCTACCTCCTCTTTACTGGCTTGAACGTAACCCTCTTCGTGCTTTCCAGCGAAGTCCTCCAGTTCGTCGGCCTTTCGCTTTGCCATCTTGATGACCTTTTGTGGGAAGCGAACGAGTTCTGCAACGTGAATACCGAAGGACTGGTCGGAGAAACCGGGTTCGACTTTGTATAGGAGGGTGACTTCGCGTTTCTTTTGCACGGCGGTGGCGTCCATGTCTGCATCTCCGTCGGCGTCGGGTGCAGGGGCACTCCCTTCAGAGATGTGTGCTACGACGTGTAGATTCTGGACTTGTGGGTATGTGTCTACCAGCGCAGTTAACTCGTGGAAATGCGTAGCGAACAGCGCAAAGGCGCCAATCTCCTTGACGATGTATTCGGAGATCGCCCATGCGAGACCGAACCCATCGTATGTACTTGTTCCACGACCGAGCTCGTCGATGATGATGAGGGATTCTTTTGTCGCAGACTTGAGAATATTCGCCGTCTCCAACATCTCTGCCATAAAGGTCGACACGCCCTTGATCTGACTGTCACTCGCGCCTACACGTGCTAGAATGCAGTCGAAGATCGTGAGCTCGGCTTCTGAGCAAGGGACGAAACAGCCAATCTGTGCCATGAGGGCAATGACACCAATTTGCCGGATGTATGTGGATTTACCACCCATGTTGGGACCGGTAATGATGAGGAACTCGCTCGAGTCGCGGACAAGAGAGACGTCGTTCGTGATGAAGGATATATCGTCTTGCATCTCCATGCAAGGGTGTCGCGCCTCTTTGAGGACGGTGTTGCCGGTGCCGCGCGCGTGCATGGTCGGTCGAGTGTAGGAGGTGGGTGCGTGAACGGAGACGTGGGCGAAGGAAACGATGACATCGAGATGTGCGAGGACGGCGGCGAGCTTCTCGACCACAGGAACGTAGGACGATGCAACTGAGACGACTTCGTTGACGAGGCCGGATTGGGTGCGGTTGTAGTTCTCAGAAAGCTGATCGAACTCTCGTCGCTTTTCTTGTAGTGTGTTGGTGGTGAAGTAGACTCCGTTCTTCTGTGTTGAGATCTCTTGATACTGCTTCTTTTGCCTGATACAGCCTGCTTCGTTGCGGGTTAGTCGGAAGCACCAGCCATTGACTTTGTGATTTTCTAGGAATAGCTTCTTCTCGGTATCTTGGTTGAGGTCATCGCCCACACGCATGTGCTCTGACTCCATGTCGCGCTTGAGCTTGTCCAGGCGCTTTCGGATGGTCTTCAACGACTCATCAAACTCAGGCTTGATGATGAACTCGTGGTTGTCGAGCGCTTCGAGGTCCACCGTCGTCTCTACCATGTCCTGCAGACCTGCAAATGCCGTTGTGTATTGGCGGAGCTTATCCGTGTACTCCGCATCAAGCGGCTCCTTGTACTGCTCGTCCATGACCGCCTCGAGGGAGCTGAGGAAGCCCGGCAATCGGATGACAACTTGATACGCGCGCACGACGTCTTCCAGGTTTGCGACTTTGCGTTGGAACTTCTTCGCTAGACGGTACAAATCCGGTATTGACCGCAGATGCTCCTCTTGCATCGTCTGCCTTAGCTCGGTATCGTTGACGAAGGCTTCCACCAATTGCTGCCGTCGTTGAATCTCCTCGACGTTCATGAGCGGCTGCTTGAGCCATTGTGCTAACAGTCGGCTACCGGTGGGTGTCTTGCAGTGGTTGAGCAGTCCGTACAAGCTCATGTTCTTGGCGCCGTCTCGTGGCCCCGGCATGAGGTTGAGTGCCTTCAGCGCGGCAGCGTCGAGCTTCATGTATTGCGAGAGGTCGTGTTGGTAGAGCTGGTACTGTCCAAAGTTTGACGAGTCCGACATAACCCCTAGATACCGGATTAGGCATGCAGCTGAGCCCATAGCTAGCTTCAGATCTGTCAATGGCAGCGAGCCGGCTGCTCGCTCATCCTTGAGTAACCGCGGCAGATCCTGCTCGATGTCTTTTGTGCCAAAGTCTGCGTGCGATCGCTCTGCCACAGCGCACCCGCAGTTGTCGGCAATCGTCCGAAGCTTGCCCAGCTCCACATCTTTCTTGGTAGAGTCGACTTGTATCAGGCACTCCTTGACGCCGAGCTGGATGAGCAGCGATTCGAAGTTTGAGTAGAGGTCGTTGTCGAGGAATTCTGTAACACCGAGCTCCCGTACGCTTGCATCTGCAAAGCATACACCCACATTGCGTGCTTCCGATGCCTTTGCGGACACCTTGACCGCCAAGATGATGGGCGCATTCTCGATCTGACCTCCCAACTCGTCTTCCAGGTCTTGCAGGTTGCCGGGTGAGGCCTGCTTGACCACCTTCCAATCCATGCGCTTGCCAGTTGATTGCCATATCTCGATACGTTTGCTGAGTCTGAAGAGTGCGTCGCGGAGGAAGTTGCGGAATACGGTGATGGTCATGGTAACGGATTCGAGGCCGGGTTCCCGTCCCAGCTTGCGGATGACGGCTGTGGTCTTGTATACCTAATAGCGTTTCAATATACTGAACATAAGCCAATGCTTCCGCATGCACTTACTGTGTTTGCGATGAACTTTGCATCTTCGCCGTGAGCGCTGTAGTAGTCGCCGCGGTCAAAGATGCGCACCGTCTCATCGTCCTTCTCAGGCAAGTTGCGGAAGAACTTGCAGAAACCCGACTCATCCTCCTCCTTGATTTCCGGTCGGGATGCCATGTTGATCTGCGATAGAAAGACAATTGCGGGGTGGGACGACAGAGGAAAGAAGGGAAAAGTTGGCGATGATTGGGCGCGCCTGCCGTTAATTGACTGAGCGCGTCGACGCGTCCAGTTCACGCTAGTCTTATCGATAACACTAAGCTTCTCGAGGATATACCGCGGCGTCATCATCAACCCTCCGCAAAATGCCCGCGAATGCCAGTTTCATCTCCGATCTCAATGCTCGTCATCGCTCATCATAATCACGATCACTTTAGCTGCGATCTATCTACCCCTCGAGCTGTCTTCAATCATTTGAACGCGCCTTCTTTGCCCCAATCCCCTCTACAACTACGAGATCAATTAAACTGGTTCACGAAGAGCATTGAAGAACAAGAGCCGTAGCGATCTTCAAACTAAGACGGCTACACCAGTGCGTAAGGTATGGAGATGGGTCGAGAAGGCGGGCGTCTAATTTAGTAGACTTCGGGCTTTCAAGACGAAGTGCGAATCGATCCCAAGGCTTCACGCTTCGAAGCCATTACGGTCGGGACCGTCTCCCAGAAGCTTCTTTCTAATTTGGGCACAGGATCATGTCACTCTCGGCGGCTACGCCAAATCAGATGCAGCATCCGCATAAGAGCTGCGAAAGTGCGAGATGTCGAATGAAATGGGCTCCATGCCACGTGTAAGATTGTTGTATACACACACTACATTTGTTACGCAGTCAGTACACCGAGATCGGTCTATTATCACTATACAGGCGCTCTACAACAGCGGTATGGAAGGGCGCCCGAAAAGAGCATGATGCCAAACCTTGTGTTGTGCCTGCGTAGCCACTCCTTTCTTTCACATGCGGAGTGTATGCGGAGTGTGTGCGGGGCCCCAAAGTTGAACACGATTACTCACATCCTCACATCACCGTTATATCGACCGTCGGGTGCAGTCGTAGTGTTGCGGCTCTTTCTCGTGCGTCGTTGCGCCCAGACACCTTGGCGACAAACTTCTCGGTCTCATTGACGCTGGTTGAGCCGCCAAGGTCTTGGATTGAGCCGCAAGCCTGCGGTACCGCATTCCCTATTTGGCACTTTTTGTCATCTTTGTGATAAGCAAGGTGTTTGCGCGCCAAATTTAAACGACTTTGTATCCGTAGGTGTTTCGGTCCTCGGTGATGTTGTGGAGATCGCGCGGATGGTTTTCGGGATGAGTGGTTGTAAGGAGTCACACTTGACTTCCTGTATTTAATTTGATGGATACTTCCGTCTCTTCATCGGTGCTGAAACTCTGATTACTTTGCTTCGGCTCCGCTGCTCAGCGTCGTGAGTTCCGTTACGAATCACCTCAGCCACGACTTCAACATGGCCCACAGATCAACATCACCAAGACATGTACTGCCTCATAACCTCTTGCCAATGCATGTCCAGTCAAACCCCTCCTCTGGGACAGCAACACCTATTAATGCAGTCCCGACAACTCTTTCATCGATACCAAGTCAACACCGGGCTTACAACATGCACCAACCAACCAACAACGCTTATACTCCTCAGGAGTCTTTCGAGATAGTCTCGCGCATGGGCGTCAAGAAGGCGTATATGCGTGTCGACAAGATCTTCCTCAGTGCCTGCTCCGCTGGCATGATCTTGTCTTTCGCATGCGCAACGCTCATTTCGACCAACACCTCGCCATGGTACCAGGAGAACGCTCCGGGTCTGATCAAGACAATTGCCGCGCTTGTATTTCCGTACGGTCTAGTCATTGTACAGATGACAGGAAGCGACCTTTGTACTGGCAGCTTCATGTACACAACCGTCGCTACGTTACATCGACGACTCAGCATCTGGCGGATGTTGAGGCATTGGGTGGTAACCTTCTTTGGCAACCTCGCGGGGAGTTTGTTCGTGTGTTGTGTGATCGTTGGATGTAAGTCTCCGATGGTAGCAGCGGCCCAAAGTTCGAGGTTGACTTGATTAATAGATGGTGGGCTGTTCGACGGAAAGCTGTATCGAGAAGAGTCGCTTCACTTCGCCTACAAGAAACAAGTCGAGCCAGAGTGGTACCAAATCTTTCTCAAAGGCATCGGCGCCAACTGGTTGGTCTGTCTAGCTTGCTTTCTCGGATGTTCGGGTCGCGACTATGTTTCCAAGGTAGTGGGGATATGGTGGCCAACATTCGCGTTTGTATCGCTGGGCTTCGGTAAGTACCAGACGTTCGTGTTAACGTTTTCAAGTTAGCTGACATTGTATCAGATCACGTCGTCGCCAACATGTTCTTGATACCCAATGCCATCTTCCATGGCTCACCAGACATTACCATCGGCATGTATGTCTGGAAAGGTATCGCTCCTGCACTACTTGGCAATATCGTTGGCGGCGGCTTCTTTGTTGGAGTCCTCTACTGGTATTTGCACCTGCAGGGTCACGACGACACCACCATTGACGGCCAGCGATACGAATCGATGACGAGAAGCCAGCAAGAATTGACAGAGTGGATAAGGTTGAAGGAGAAAAAGGGTGTAACAGAAAGTCAAGAGCAGGTTTGAATGTACGGTGATTTGGTTGCAGAGGACAGTCGGAGCTTGGCGCCCGGGCGGTTCGAGTTCTGCATAGCTAAGCGGGTGACGTCAAGGATGGCACGTGCTCGCGAGCTCCTCTCTTTCTGTCCTTGTACAAGCGTGTTCATCTAGAAGACATCTAACATTAGAATCAACAAACGAATCATTTTCCATGATCATCTCATCGCCCTATGTCTACAGTATCCTGTGATTGGGTTGATGCATGTAGCAGCCAGCAGTCGTGATTACAGGGCCGTTGTGACAATCGGGGTTTGAGCGGATCCTAGAACAGTTTCCATCCCATCATCGTATTGATCGTTCTAGGCATGGCAGTTCTAGTACGTATAACAAAAGATGTCCGATCGTACATCCACGATCTCTGAGACTTTGACATCCGGTGCTAGACCTCCGATCGAGACGATGTCATCGAGACTTGCTTGCTCCTCCGACCTAGGCTTGAAGCTGCCTGTATACATATTCTGTCGCCGTGGCAGGTCATACTGCTGCCACTTCCACCAGATCCTGTCAATTTGCGCATGGTGAAGGAAGAATATTGGATCTTTCAAGGTATTAGCGATCGACCGCAAGCCAGCAAAGCTAAACCGACGTACCATTAGGTGAAGTAAACAATCGAAAGTCTCCCATGATGAACTTAGGTATAGCGATGTGCGCTCCATCTTCAAATCGTACGAGGAACTTGTAGTAGTCGTCTTCTTCCAAAAGAGCTTCGATAGCACTCGGACGAAGATGCTGCGATAGATTTGCGACAGGTTCATCCTTGAAAGAGCCAAAGTCGCGCGTCAAGCAATGCGGCGCGTACGTAGCATCTGCAAGGGCGACTTCAAAATTTGCAAATGAACCATCTTCAATGCAATGTGAGCGCGGGAAGAGAACACTGGATTTTGAGCTTTCACGACCATTGCCTGAGAAACCATGGTCGAGATCCCACACTGGCGCAGCGGCCAGATTCTGCCAGTCGAGCGTCCAATCCCAGTATCTGAATGAGGTTAGTAAGATATGTCATCTCTGGCTCACGCACTCACGGGAGTTCTCCAGCGTAATGGCACTCGTTCACGAGGAGCTGATGATAGGTATGAATGAGATAACGGTGCCAGGAAAGGAATGCCGCCGCGAAATGTACTATCAGGAAACATAAGCAGCCGAGTATTCCTTCTTCGGTGTAAGTATGCTTACTTTCTTTATTAGACTGGAAATGCACGTAGGCAAAGTCGTCGTAAAGCGTATGGTTCATCCCAATGCGTGAGGGCTTCGTACGTAGACACCGTACAGCATCGACGTATACGTCCTTCTCCGAGTCGCTCAAACTTCGCCACTCGCGCCGTATAGACGGTGCGCTGCAAACATGTTTTGCAGAGTCTCGATTTGTCTTCTCTAACAACGAGCTCGCAAAGAAGCCAGTGAGCAGGCTGATCAAGCAGAGACAGAAGCTCAACACAAGAGGCAATTGCGTCCTTATCTTTCGATCCTTATAGATCTTGCCACTGTCTCCTAGAGCATCCTGATCGTAGTCCGGATCACCATGGGCGTGTTTTGACTGTTCGGTGTAAGTCGGTAAAAGTGTTTCGTGTTCCATGTTGACCGCCGTGCCGCAAAGGATGGAGGGTGGTATATCCCTGCGTTTATAACGCCACACAGTGCGGCCATCACGGCACAGTAAAGGGAAAGGCGCGACAAGCAATTGATGCGAGGATGATGTGTACGTCCGAGGCTGCATTGCGCCTTGCTTAGGCCACCCGTCTTCATCATACCCAAGTGATTAACCGACGATACGGTCTGCTCCTATCATCTTCGACATACCTCCCGTCTCCGGTCTATCCAAAAACCTTGCAAAGGATGATAGACTAGCTTACGCGCTACTGCAATGATGATTTTGGTGAGCGTTCCAAGGTTGTACATCTCGCAAAGAGGGGGTGAAGGATTCCGCGGCGGCTAGCGGTTCGGACAAAAGCGCTTCCTGATTGGTTGCCCCACTGTATCTAGGTGGTGGCCCAGGCGTTCACCCTTTCCGTGACCCAGAGCCTTCCAAGGTTCAATCTACCAACTTACGCACAACTCACACAGCGAGGTCGTTTGCGCTACAACGACAGATAAATCTAGTTATAAGCAGGGGTTTTGATCGCACATCTTCTGACAGCGAATACTGATGCTATCTTCGATTAGGTGGGGGCACACATCCATGAATTGAACCTTGGAAGTATCTGTGCGCACCTGGGCAGTCATCGCGCCTGGTCAAGCAGCTCTGAGAGCATACCTAATATGTCCACATGAGCTAAGCTAGGATGACTATGCTCCACGCATCTCATGTGCGGGCTATAAATGTTGTCAACGTCCTTGTTGAGAGAAGACCTTATCGTGTATTGCGCACCATGACTGGAACGCAGAGCCGCATAGCTGAGCTGGCAGCCCAAGTAGCACAACATACCCAGCGTATCGACGATTACCTCAACCAAAATGGCTTACCACATCCTTCGTTCCATGCTGAGAGCCCCTCGGACCTGGGACTGCAACCTGACATTGAGCATTCACGTACCGTTGTTCTTCGCGCCAGCCAAGAGCTAAACGACCTCCTACAGCATCCTCGAGACTTGCTGTTCAACCACCACGTCCGTATCTACGCCATCCGTGTCTGAGACATATGTCAGTTCTCTAACTCAGCTGCAGCATAATGTTCTGGTATATCTTCAGCTCATCTCTCGGTTCGATATCGCATCCAAGGTACCGGTCGATGGGGAGATTACTTTTAACCGCCTGGCAACTGTCATTGGCATGGACGAAGGATCCATAGCTCGGATCCTTCGCCTCGGCATTGCATATCGCATCTTCAGAGAGCCTAGGTACGGCGTCATAGCCCATTCTGCAGCGTCAAGACAGATCGCGGACGATGCCTGCGTAGCAGACTGGATTGGCGCGTCCGTGGACGACATGTGGCCTGCAGCCCATAAAGTGGTCGACGCGCTCACAAAATGGCCTCAAGCAGCGGAGCCTACTGAAACAGTGAGCTCATATGGCGACTTACGGATCCAAGCTGATCAAATTCCCAGGGATTCGCGCTCGCCAATGATACCAACTTGCCGTTTCATGCCGTGTTGGCGCAGAACCCGCAGCGCGCGCGTCGTTTTGGTGGCGCTATGAGCTTCTTTACCAAGGGTGACGGCTTATCGTTACGTCACTTGACGGATGGATATCCTTGGGCTGCAACGCCATCTGGTACGGTGGTCGACATCGGTGGCTCTCACGGCGACGCAGCGTTTGCACTAGCGCGGAAGTACCCTGACCTTCACATCATTGTGCAAGATCTGCCTGAAGTGGTCGCGAATGCGAGACAATTGGAAGGCCTGAATGTGGAGTTCATGGCTCACGACTTCTTCGATGAGCAGCCAGTAAAAGGTGCTGAGGTCTATTACTACCGACACACATTGCACAATTGGCCGGACAAATATTGCACTAAGACGTTAAGGGCGTTGATACCGGCACTGAAGACAGGCGCCAGGCTGTTGATCATGGACATGCTGATGCCTCTGCCTGGCGCGCTTCCCAATGATCTTGATCGTAAGCTAAGGTACGTGTATGCAGCTCTTCACGCCAGCGTACTTCTCACCAAGGACTCACAGGGCCATGGATCTGACTATGTTGGAAATTGGAAATGCCAAAGAGCGCGATCTGAACGATTGGAAAGGCTTACTCGAGAAAATCGATACCAGGTATCAGTTGCGAGAGGTATATCAACCACCAGGCTCGACGTTATCAATCGTTGAGGTAGTGTGGAAAGGGTAAGTGGGGCGTGCAAACAACACAGCTGAGTCCAATTCATTCACAGCATGGTGTCTGTGTTGAGCGTTACATTATGAGTTCATTTCAATTGCTCAACTTAACGATCGGGATCGAGACGGTCCCTCCATTCAGTACCGAAGACGGTGGTTCTTGACTTTTGATGGTCTCATTCCGATTCTTTACTCCTTGCGACGCCATTGATACACCATGCCGTCGTCATCGTCGCTGTTCGTGTGCTCCCATACGATCACGGGCTTGAAGCCTGGAGCTGCCTCTGATTTGGCAACAGCAGCAGCATCTGTTTCGCATTTCAGTAAGACATATTGACCGCCAACTTTAGATCTCGGCTTACCTCGTTTCGGCTCAACGGGCAAGGCACTGGCATGGAAGCCGCTGGACGCCAAGACGGCAAGAACCAAGGAATTGAAACGCATAGTTGATAGTGTGATAGTGACTTGATGGAACTCGGAAGTATTTGGATCAAACGTGTTATCAGAGCGTCTCGCCGTCCCCTGGGCATGGACTGCGTTGAACTTCTATACTGGTACATGATCACGGCTCGTCGGACCATCTATTCCTCTGATCACGTCGCATAGCATCGCATTGCATTGCATCGTACACGTCAATGAGCTACTGCAACTGTTCCTTCGTCGCGATGCGAGAGTTGAATAGTTCCGGATATACCGCATCTGTTGTCATTGTGGGGTTGCTGTGCCGCAATGGCGGCGCAAGCGACTAACCAATTGAGTCAGTTGATGGACGGTGACACGACAGCCGAGCTTTATCTCCTTCTTCGCGCCGCTCGCGTGGCCTGCCGACTGCATCCACATGCAGGGTTGACCAATGACAGACGCTCGCATATTCTGTTTGGGAAGTCTCCTTGCAGAACGCTTACGGGCTGACCCAGTGCACCGGTCAAATACTTGCTGCTTTTATGCCATTCGTTGGAAGGATATCGAATACCTTTTGTGCGCTCCAAGTAGATGCGGTAGTCGAAGCCGTGATCAGATTACGCGTGGACGAGAACTCGCTCGCTCTGCGACCATTACACGCCTTCGATCGTGCAACCTCGAGGTCTCCAACATGGCGAAACGCGAAGGATACCTACCTGTCTCTTCTTCGGAAGATGATGTTGATGCCATGGAACCTGTGAACAGATCTCAGTCGCGACTGCGGAGGATTGCTAAGGGCTCTATTGTCGCATTGTCCGTGCTTGGGGCCTTAGGTACTGGATATACACTGGGCTCTCGGAATGCGACTGAAGTTCCGACTACTATACGTGAGTACTAACACGTTTGTCAACCAAACACACTACTAACAGAGTGCAGTCCCAGCTGGCGATACTCACTACTACATGCAGTTCGACAAAACATTTCCCCAAAGACCTAATGAGGAGAGTGACGCTGCATGGGCCTCTCTGTTCCCGGAGAAGCTTGGTTTCGTTCAGCATCCAGTCCTTGCACCAAACGTAGCTGGCATTGCTGCCTTTCACGAATTACACTGCCTTGTAAGTACCTATACTTCGTTTTCCAGCTCTCACGAGACTGAAGGTATTCTAGAACATGCTACGTCAAGCTTTCTGGGCTTCCGTAGATGGCAAACTTGAGGAGATGGGTGATGAATCGAGGGAGAAGAACCACCGCACCAGCCATCACCATGTGCGACACTGCTTCGAATACCTCCGGCAATCACTGATCTGTCTCGCCGACTCTAATCTGGAGATGATGAACTACACAGCACGAGGAATTTCTGGATGGCAGACTGAGAGAACATGCAGGAACTTTGACGAGCTAAGCGATTGGGCTAATGAGTGGGGCATTTCCAGGGCAGATGCTCTTCACAATCACGATCTTCACGCAAACTTTGTCAATGAGACGCGGGGGCTGTGAATAATAGATAGCGAGAGTTGATATGCGACTTTACGACACACGTGCGAAGATCAATGTGGCTTTGTTCTCTCAGTGATGTGCTCTGGGCCCACGTCTTCGGGCTTCATGAGAACCCCATCTGCGAAGATATCAATGGCACGGGCTTTAGTCCACCCCATAAGGGCATCAAAATCCACGCATTGGTGTGTTGCCCAACTTCGCGCTGTCACATCATTTCCCCCTCCAGAGAGATATGTGTACGTTCCGAGCGACACATCACCTCTGCACATGATGCCCTGGCGCAAGGTCTCGATACAGTGGTCTTCGAGCAATGTCAGTTCGGAATACGTGACTGTATCAATGAGTGCCTTGACTTACTGACGTGCCGCTCCAATTCATTGCGAGACAGCCCTTGCACGTCCTCAAAATAGGTCTCTTTATATATCCACTGCCTGATCTTTTTCTGTCTTGATGTCAATCTCCATTGTGACACTATAAATCCATCGATGTACTCACAAGGCAATGCAGCTCATGTGTCATAAAGATCTCAGATGCGAAGCCGGAGCCGTCAGCTAGGGGTAAAGACGTGACATTGTAGTAACCCAAGTCTTCTTCGGAGACTTTGATGACAGTACCTATCAAGTCGTGTAATTTAGCTACAAATCAGTCTCGGCTTTTGCGGTCATGCAAACCTTCCAGGAGTTCATGCCACGCATGATCGAGTTCTGCGCTCGGAAAGCCCGCAAACGGTGTTCCCGCTACGGTCAATGGGAACACACGAGTGTCTTTGCGATATGCACTTGATGCGGCAAGAGCTGACAACAAGATCAGTATAGACTAGCAGCAGAAATTGGCCCGACATACAAGGAAAGAGCTCCGGTCTCCAGTTGCGAGCCTCCAACTCCAAGCGCGAATATTGAACTCGGAGATTGATGTAGAGGGCTCCTAGGACAATGTATCCAATTGCGATAGCCGCGACGATAACGAATGACTGGAGAGATCGAGGCCTATGGCTGTGCGTCCTCATCCCTCGGAAAGGCATAGTCTCGTCATCGGAGAGAACGTATGTGGAACCAGCCTCATCTGCTTCTTTGTTGCGATACGACATCGTGCTTGAAACCAAATGTAGGATTGTGAATGACGCTGCTATGTTTCTCTAACTGACAATGCTTTAACATTTCGCCCGCTGTACGAACGATCACAAGCTTGAACATTGGGTAAAGCGGCACCGGACGAAAGGTGGGATAATGCTTTCCGCTGGAGTGGTAATGAAGTAGCAAGCCCTTGCTTGTAGCCGTGCGTGGCGTGCCGGCTTGCTTACGGTTGCGGCACAGTCAGCTGCGGCGCGACCCTACGAGGGAAAGTTCATAGGTACCTCCTACGGCTGTCTTTCTCCATGCTCCACGCTTGTTACACAACATATCAACCCGAACGGAACATTTTTCTTATCGCAGCAACCACGTACAGATCGCGACACGCCGGTGGATCAGAAGCTGGAGTGCTGTGCCTCATTCTTGCCTAAGCGAACGTGCACTATCTACTGCATACAGTGCAGAAGGAGCTGCATGGCGTGGAGCGCTGCCAAGTTCATCGCATTAGCGTTGACGTTAGCGCTGTTCGCTATTGCCTCGGTGTTGTTGAGGTTTTGGGCGCATACGAAGACCGGCAACAAACCTGGTATTGACGATGTGCTGATAGTCCCGGCTTTGGTAAGCGACGCGAAGAAGCCTTCAACGAAACGCTGACTCACGGCCACACAGATATGTGTAGTCGGTATGGCTGCTGCGATGGTTGTTGGTCAGTGAATACCGAATGATGAAATCGCCGTTGTCTCACTCAGCTCTAGGCGCCGAACTTGGAGAAATGGCCCAGCATCAGACAAACATAAACGGTCCTGATGGCCCGATATTCACCAAACAACTAGCGGTATTCGAGAAGGTAAACACCTCTTCCAGCCAACTCCACAACTACTCACAGCTACAGGTCAACTATACCCTGCAACTGCTTGCAGTAGCTTCCCTAGGATTTACCAAGTGCTCTATACTATGCTTCTACCGTCGCGTATTCTGGGTTTATCCGCGGTTTCTATTCGTTAACAATGTTTTGATCGTCGTCGTGGCGGTGTGGATGGTATCTTTCTTGTTTGCGATGCTGTTCCAATGCCGACATCCGCAGATTATTTGGACGACGTTTGAGTACGCACCAATCCGCCTGGTCGAGTGTGTGGAGCAGGTACCCTTCTACTTCTCTGTTTCAACCAGCGGTTTCATGTTAGACTTTGTTATTCTCGCCACACCCGTACCGGTGATATACCAGCTGCAGATGCACTGGAAGATTCGACTTGCGGCAGTTTGCATCCTGTTGCTTGGAGCGGTGTAAGTATTCCCATCGAACCCCATATAGAGCAAACGTTGACCAAGAACAGTGTGTGTGGGGCTGGTGTCATGCAACTTGTGCAATTCGTAAGGATAGGCCAAGAAATAGCGACGCATTATGATGACATAACTTGTATGTCCGATGAGCTCTCAAGGCCTGAACACCACAGCTAATGACGGGTTAGATTTCACTACACCGATCTTTGCGTGGAGCATGGTGGAAAGCTCATTGGCCGTGGTGGGTGCCAATCTTCCCCTTCTACGACCGTTGCTACATCGCATCGAACGCACCTGTTCTTGGTTTGCCCGTTTACTCCGCATTACCGGGTGCGAACGTACTGTGAGTGGTAGCACCGGGACGAGAGGCTCCGAAGTGAAAGCCGAAACGGAGAAAGAGGAGGTGAGATTTGAGAGGGAAGAGTCTATACGAAGTTACTTCAGTTTTGAGTTGCCGACTGGTCCAGTGAACCGTCCAGATGTTCCGCGTGTGGCCGTGACCGCGAAGCCATCTAGGAGTTAGGCTGCCTTGTCCTGTTCATGGAGTTTTGATGAACAAAAATTTGTGCAGCCACTGTTATTGCGACGAGAATGCATCGTTAGAGTCCCAAGTCCGGAGAGCGGATGTATGAAGATAGCAGCCTCGATTGCGGCATGGCGGAAGCTTCCGCGCTTCGTGACGATGATGCCGTCTTCTCCGACCGAGGGTTAGCAATTACAAAAGCGCCTGTGCGAAGAAGTCGCGTCATACGCACTCGCCCGGAATTTGTGCTTACACTCAATACACTGTGATAGCCTTCATGAACAGTGCTCGTTCAAGACTCATGGTTAGAAAGAATCTGAATGCCATTGACCAAAGGTATGGAATGACGGATGGCATAGTCTGATGATCGTGGGTGTGATAATAGCGCGCTAGCTGCTAGCGCGTTTCGTTCGGGCCCCCGGGCCCTGACCTAGGAAATCAAGCACTCCGCAATAAGTAAAATACCTAGGTATCAACACCTTCTGTAAACCTCCGGATAGCACACTACTCCCGGTTTTCCACTTAACAGCCACTCTCAATTGATTCCCCGTTAGCCAGACTGCAAAGAAATTCGGAATGCCCGCGGTCATACACCCATCCATTCCCGGATCGAAGCATAAAGAGTTTCGCATCTTCATCGCCTCATTACGCCACCTCACGACAGATCAAACCCAGTATATCCGTTCTCCGCCGTCTCGTTGATGGTCTTGTAGTAAGTTGGCACGCCGCCAATGTACATCAATGGCTCTCTAGGCTTCCCAGGAATATTACTTCCCATGTACCACTATCGCCGCGTTAGTATACCACAATTCCTGATCCATCGGCTCATTGCGACTCACAGAATCTACACTGGGCAACAGCGACGCATTAGCAAGCTTCCAGATGAGCTTTTTCCACTGATCTTCGCTCTCCTTCTGGGCCACGATCTTACGAAGCGACTTCTCCTTCATATGGTTCATCATTTGCAAGATCCAGCCGCCTTGCAGCTCAGCGCATGTGGGACCATTGCACAGCGCAGTCGGCGCTTGGGGCCCATATGTGAAAAACATGTTCGGGAAGCCTGCGACAGCCATTCCGAGATACGTCTTTACGCCGTCCTTCCAATGCTCGCTCAAGCTCTCGCCTGACGGACCGCGGATATCGATCTGTTTCAGACCACCGGTAAGGGCATCGTAACCGGTCGCGCTGATGATGTAGTCGAATTCTTGTTCTTTCTCTGTGGTCTTGATGCCTTTCTCGGTAATCTCTTGGATCGGCGTACCCTTCTCGCTGATGTCGACAAGAGAGACGTTGGACTTATTGTACATTTCAAAGTACCCATTCTCTAGCGCGATACGTTTGCAACCGAAGGAATAGGGTTGCTCAATGGGAGCGAGTGTATCAGCGACTCTGTTGTCATTGATCCTCGCCCGCGTCTTGTCTCGCCAAAAGTTGTATGCTTCGCGGTTGGCTTCTTTGCTAAAAAGCATGTCTTGATAAGCCGCAAGCCAGAACTTGAAATCGCCTTCATTCCATAGATCTTCGTAGACCTTCATTCTCTGTTCTGGCGTATCGTCGAATGTAGAGCGGGGGATGAACTCAAACGAGAAGCCTGAGAAGCGGGTTTTCAACGCTGCGAAGAAGTCCGGATACTCAAGCTTGGCGATGGCTTGTTGCGGAATGTCATAGTCGACTTGAAGCATTGGCATTGACATGTTCAGTGTCCGTTGGAAGACTGTGAGCTGGCTGGCAGTCTTGCTCAGCTCCTGCGCTATTTGAATGCCGGTAGCCCCAGTTCCAATAACAGCCACCCTCTTGCCGCGGAGATCAGGTTCTTCATGAGGCCAAAATGAGGGATGGAGGAAGGTGCCTGATCAAAGGTTAGTGAGTTTCACTGCGACGGCAATGTGATCCGACCTTTGAAAGAATCGATGCCTTTCCAATCGGGAATGTGTCGCTTCGCCGCGAAGCCAGTGTTCAGCAACAGAAACTTCACCTTGTACATCTCGCCCGCCTTCGTTTTCACTGTCCACCTCGCTTCGTCATCACTCCATGTCGCAGATGAAACGAACGTGTCAAACTTGGTATCCTTCCTCAGATCCCATACCTTAGCCACGTGAGCAAAGTAAGCGCGAAGCTCCGAGCCT